ATTCTTACCTTCTGTTCCTTTATTTTTATTAATTTTTATCTGCACAAATATTAAAAAAATGAAAGGGCATAAAAGCCTCCTCCACTCTCTTATTCACCACCCTCTAAATAAATTTTTTTGTTGTGATAGACGAAGAAGTTATTTGGTGAAAAAAAGGTGAATATGCTTTTGGAAGTCAAGAACTCACCTATCATCCAAAGAGCAATGCTAGGGGCACTCGCTTTTCGCACTCTCCGGCCAACACTTCCTCTTTCATTGGGCCACGTAAGCTTCTTTAAAGCTTTCAGCGCAATTTCTCGGAACCAAGATAACGAGGCCCAATAAAAGAGAAAGTGTTGACTGGAGAGTGCGAAAAGCGAGTGCCTCTAGCATTACTCTCATCCAAAATGCATGATTTTTTTTTTTTTTTTTGACAAGGCAATGGTTAGAAAGTTAGTAAGTTAATTGTTAGTGACTAATTCTCAAATTGAGTGAATATTCCATCCTCTCAAATGAAACGCGTGGTTATTAGGTCACTTTTTGGTGGAGTTTACGATGATAGTGAAATTCGAAACTCCGACAACCTCATCTAAACATTTAAGATTTAGAGTCGAACTATTGGATCACAAGGCTCTGTTCGTAAATGCATGACCCATTTGAACCAAAAGAACTTTCGTTCCATAAGCTTTTGAGAAAAAAAGAACAACTAACCCGATCTTGTTTTTAGGTCCACCACAAAGTTCGACTGTCACCTGACTCACCTCTAGACCTCCCTTTCTATTGCATCTTTAAGCAACATCCAAACAAAGATTCATACTCAAAGTCACGAACTCCCTTTTATTATTTTAGTTATAATATCGTATAAAATTATAAATTATAATTATAATATATTATTAAATAAATATATATAATATCAAGAGTAATTCATGATATAATTAAAAATGTTATATGTTATAATTATAATATTATTTGATATTATAAACTTGTTATTATATAATTAAATATTTTTATTTATAAATTCACTTATAGAATTATATGAATTCACTTATTTAATATTACGTTATACTTATTTAATATCAATCATGATTATAAACTTATAATTTTACATGACATTATA